ATATCTGGCCATCAAAAGTATATATCATATATATTTTATACATATATAATAGTAAGAAAACTCACAAAAATTTCACTAGTTTAAGAGTTAATTACTTAGATATACTCTATTTTTTAATATATTACGAATCTTATCAAATTTTGATGCGTCTAAATACGTCCAGAACATGTATCTCAGAATAAATTGAGTCAAAATTAGGTGTAATTTGCTTTAATACACTATATCTAAGTGAATTCGCATATACCTAGGATACGTAACAAATCTCACTCGCCTCCCTCCCATTTATCTGGAATACCAAATACATGTGAATCACACCAGATACATACAAAATACATGTATGGTGTGTATCTAGTATGATTCTCATGTATATGGGATACATGACTATATATCTCTCTTGTCTCCATTTCTCCATCTGGTTCGCCTCTATCCTTATTTTAGTGTATTTGGTAAAAAAATAAATACATGTATCGAAGTGTATCTTTCTTAACATGTGATAGAAAACTCTTAATTATTGGTAAAAGGTAAGATACATAATTATTTGAAGTATAAGTAGAATTAAAAATTAAAATATATATTTATAAACCTGAACTTCATTTTTGTGGAACTCCCGGAAAAAATTGTCACGGCTGCTCTCAAAATATGCTGAATGAACTCGCTTTTAATAGCTTACAAATTATATAGGAGATCTGAAATACACTAGATAAACTCAACGGAAAAAACATTGACAGAGAAAATCGAATTTTGACCTCCCTTATAGTATAGTACCTCCATTTTAATAACTCAAATCAGACAAGAAAAGAACTAAATGGTCCCGATTTAGTCCTCTTTATCACCTATTAACTTTGTAAAATTAAAATAATAATTGTGAACAGCTTACGAATGGAAAAATAATAATGGTCACAATTTGAGCCAACCAAATATTAATTTCAGTAATTAACGTTAAAGAACTTTGCGCATGCAACTTTAAAACCTCACTCCAAAGTCCAACCCAAATTATATTATCCGTTGTATTTCTTTTTACATGTCTTTTCAAAAATACTTATTAAGAATTTTTTTGATCATCTTATCTTTACCAATAGTAATAATATAATTTTTTATTGAGTATTTATTTTATTTACATTTCATAATTCAAGTGTTTGCTGTTTTTAATAACAATTATTATTAAAAGTAAAATGAATGATAGGCATCAAATAGTATGCACACTCCTATGGGTCCTAACATAATGTTTTTATTTTCCTAATTGCTTGGGCGGTTATTGTCATTTAGATTAAAACACCTTAACAACCGACTTTATAATATAATAAAATGTCACTCCTAGTTCTTTTTTCATTAAGTACTTCCAAATCCCCTTTTGATGACGTGGTTACATTTAATGAGTATTTGCAAACCAACCACTACCTAATAAAAGTTGCAGACATGTTTATTGACTCTTTGCTGTTAATGCTTCGTGCACTATCCATGGCTATCATTAAGGGTGTCAAATGGGCGGGTTGAATTGAAATTTAAGATATTAAAATGGGTTGAAATAGAAATTGGGTTGAGTTATGACTCGTTCAAGTTTGTTTTGGGCTCAAATGGATTGGGTCTTGAAACGTCTAATTTGATCTGCTTAATCTCAATAATTTTAACACATTGATATTTAACTTTTATTACTATATTTTGAATTTTAATTCAAGATTTTTTTTTTAAAAAAAAGTTACAAATGGATAGTAAATCTAAAAGATATAAAATAGATGGTAATTCATACCTTTAATATAGGTTCATACAATACATCAATGCAAATAAAGTATTAAAACATATTGAAATTGGAGATTGAATTGAGTTGATCAACTTGAGAATTCTCTTAAAATGGGTTAAGACTTAAATGAGTTGAGATTGAACCCAATTCAAATTATCTAGAGCTCAATGGCTCAACCCTTAAAATTTTGAACGGATTGGACGAATTAGCTATATTTGAGTTCATGTTTTACACCCTTAGCTATAATATTACTCTTCGTTCTTAAATTATATGTTCTAATTTTTTAAAAATACTAAATTTTTGATATTATAATATTTAATTTAACATTTGATGTGTATTTTTAAAAATTTAAATATTTAACAACAATAGTTAATGAAGGTAAAAAAAAAAAAGAAAAAAAAAAGAAGGTAATTTCTTAGAAAAATAAAGTCATAATTTTTGTCCATTGAAATCGAAAACAATTTTAACTAGTATATTATATTACAAACATCCCTACGTGACGTACATATAAATAATTTTTATATCATCATATTTAATTAATAATAACAACTTCTATAGTGTGTTGCTCAACTGAAAAAGGGTGGAGCAAGTCAAAACCAATAATAATATAGTAATATGATTAAGAATCTAATTAAGATCCAAGTTATGCCCCCATTTCCACCAAACAAATGAGTGATGAAGCATACAAAAAAACAAGAAGTTTGCTTAAGTCTAATAAATAAATATTTTAATCAATAAAGTGGTTTTCTTTAAAGGAAAATTCCTCTTGTCAGAAAATTTAGCCAGAATTTGATCAGAATGATATTTTACCTATGTTATTTTATCTTTTTGAACATTTTTATCCTTTTAACTTTAATACCTTTTAATTAAAAAATGAAAAAAAATCAATTTATTTTAAAATAAAAAAGATATTAAAGATTTTTTAAATTTATGGCCAAATTCTGACCAAATTTTCTAACAATTTAGCATTATCCTTCTTTAAATAACACTAAAATTAAAAGCTACCACTCCCATTATGCTTATCTTAATTTTTTCTTTTATCTTACTTAAAGCGGTAGGATTTTGTTTAAGTTATAGTGAAGTTAAAGACACACTTTTTGTTAGTAATATTAAATAACTTTAGTGTAATTTAGTGACACTAATTGTAAAAAATACTTTTATTTATGTGTATCAATCAATTGCTTAGTCAAACAAGCTATTAATCCTAACAACTGAAAATTGAGTACACTTTTTAACTGGCTTCAATCATACAAGTGGGGACATGTTTAAGTTGTTTATTAGTGGTTAGAAAAGAAAAGTGAAGTAATTAAAAGAGGCTTGGGTTAGATCTATCCCCATGAATTGGGGGAAATTTTTTCGTTAAAACAAGTTTATGTTTATTACCCTATCTTTAATTACTTTAAGTCAAACTACAGACAAACTCACCTTATTTAAAGGCACAGTTTTTCATTCCAAATTAATCTTTAATTTCTGTTGTGTATTTCGAGTTTTTTCAAACTAAGTCTATATAAAGACATAGGTTTATGTGAAGGACATATAAATATATTTTATACTATCGTACGTTGGAATTATAATTTGTAAGAATATAACAAGTTAGTGTCATTTTTACTAGAGAGTTGGGTATCAAAACGGACATTTTTTTTTCCATAAATTAAAGTATAAAAAAACTTGAAATTATTTCTTATAAAATAAATTTTACTATTTATTTGCTTATAACAATAGTAAAATTTATTTTATAAAAAAAATTCTCAATTTTTTTATATTTTTATTATTAAAAAAAGTCATGATTTTATGTATAAAAAAGACTTCACAATACATTTAAAATTGAGAAAGAGATATAGATTTACATGAGAAGTTAATAAAAAGACAAACTACCTTTAAAGTTTGTGTAATATTATTTTGGATGGATTTGGAGTTAATAGGGAAGACAATGTTAAAAGATGATAGTTATAGTTCGTCAATATATAGGCAAACTGTCCGGTTTGGTGTGTGTTTTTAGAAATTGTCTCTTTTGGTGTTTAGGGTTGAAAAAGTGTCCGTTTTGATGCCGGGCACTTTACTTAGATTACAGATCGATGTTTTTTCAAAATAATACTTATACTTATCTAATAATTATTTTGATTATATTAAAAAAAAACACTAACAAGTACCAATACATAAAGCTTGTTTGACCTTGTATAGAAAATTGATATAAATAGCTGCTTAACAATTTTTTCTTGCATATAAATGTATGATATACATTAGATATACATTTTTGATACAAAATAACATATATATATATATATATATATATATATATATATATATATATATATATATATATACTAGCGTATGTGATTATAACTGACTGATCAAATATGTAACTTGCTATCAACAATTTGTTTGGCCGTTGCGGAGATCTACCTGGAAACACTAAGGGTCCGTTCGACCATGCGATATGGAATCATGATATGATATCATAATATAAAATCATGAGATGAAATTGAAGTTTTGTTTGGACATTTGATATGAAATTTTTGTGTTGTATATTTTCTCATAAACATAAGAATCTCATAAGTTGTAAAACTATTAAAATAGCCCCAATTGTTTATTCACTCTTACCGAATAACAAAAAATTATAAAATTGCATAAAGTATTACAAAGCTATTTGTTCTCCACTTAAGTAATTGTTTCATCTAACTTTAATTGATCAAACTTTAATTCAATAAAAAAATTGAACATGAATTGTAGTACTGTACTAGTTTTTAAGAATTTTTGACCAAAATAAGCCATTATTAAAATCAATTCACCAAAATAGTATATTTTTTTAAAATTTACGAAACTAGTATAAACGTGGTTCACAGTAACGTTTTAGGCTTTATTTTATTAAATAAAATTAATGGGAAAAAGGACGGACGGATAACGCCGTTTAATAATAACACGTCATTGGAGATAACGTTTTAAACATAAAACGTTACCCTAAATAACGATTATAGCCCGTGTGTACTACAACCCATTCATTCTTATCAATTGAACAAAACCCATCAACTGAACAAAACCTAATTGACTCCAGCGACTATTGCGAAAAAACCCTCACCTCTCACCACTATATTCCTAACCCACCTGCAAAAAATCCGACCGCTTACAAAATTGACGCACTAACTACTCTGAATTTGAAATCCTTTTGTTCTACTGTTGATGATTTGACACACTACTACAAGAGATTTATATAGGGGTGAAACTTTCAAAATTTTGAAAGAGGTTGGCAATTTTACTGGCAAAAATGGGTCAAAAAGCTTTGAAAGAGAAGTATCTTTTTGTGATTGAGGTAATTTTGTCGCACACAAATACATTTGATGTACATTTTTTTTTCTTTTTTGTGAATGAAGTTAACGTTTTATGTATATGTTGCTGGTGAATCATTTGTGCAAGGTTTTGCTCTTTATTTTAAAAACATTCATTTGTGTGTAGGTATTTCTTTTATGGCTAGTAATAATACATACCAACTGGATCCCGGTCCACTTGATCCGTCTGTATTAACCGAACAGCTCACTCATAGGTCACAAGATATATGGATAGGAAATGATGATATGATTTTGAACACAAGGAAGTGTGATGGAAAGTTTTGGGACCTCGTAAATGAACATCCCATCCATCCACGAGTCTTAGATGTAATTAGATTATCCGGATTGTACGGTGTTTATAGATCTCACCGGCCTGTTGTAGATCGTAGTTTAATCACTTCACTAGTTGAGAGATGGCGTCCTGAGACTCATACCTTCCATTTTAAGACAGGTAAGGCCACAATCACCTTACAGGACGTGGAGATATTGTATGGCTTACCCGTGAAAGGTAATCCAGTACTTGGATATGAACCACAGAAGACCATAGCGGATTGTCAAAATATTTGTCAAAGACTACTAGGTTTTACTCCACATACTCAAGACTTTAAACATAGTAGTCTTAAGGTCTCCGCGCTTAATGCACACTTGCGACTTCAACCACAACTGTCTGATTTGGTAACACAAGATATGGTTAATGAGAAGGCTAGGTGTTATATGTTTTGGATGATTGCTGGTTTAATGTTGGCAGACACATCTGGTGGTCTTTTAAAGCTTATGTACTTGCCTATGCTCGAAGACATCACTGCAATAGGGTCTTACAATTGGGATAGTGCAACCTTAGCATGCTTATATCGCTTTATTTGTAAAGCCTCCCAAAGTACCCAGAATGAGATTGCTAGATTCCTACCACTACTTCAGGTATACCTAATAATGCTACTAATTATTTATTGAAATTTCTTGTAGTTTATAAGTATCCCTCTGTATATATTATGTTAGATTTGGGCATGGGAGAGAGTTACTGTTCTCAGGCCTCAAATAGTAGCACAAAAGGACACGAGAAATATTTTTCATGTTGGTTTACCTAGGGGTCCACATGCTGCTAGATGGTTTGCACATTTTAGTTGGACCAACACTACCAAGCATGTGCTAAGAGTTTTTAGGGATGCGCTTGATTCAATGACTAAAGATCAGGTAGGATGTTATTTTAGTTTTCTCTTAACTTTCATGTATATTATAATTGTGAACTCTTTTTGTCTCATGTAGTTTATTTGGGAACCATATTCTGCTGACTTGATTAAGAGTCGTCCCGACTATTGCCGCGTTGGAAGAGATATATGGCGTGCTAGAGTTCCAATTTTTTGTTGGGATGTCGTGGAGGTTCATTTGCCTGATCGAGTTATGAGGCAATTTGGATTGGTTCAGGAGATACCATCTCCATTTCCATTTGATGCTACTCATTTTCACCACGATCGTCGAGGAAGGCCAAACACTAATTGGGAGTTGGAGCATGCACAATGGTTACCTTTTTGGAACCATATTGACCAATATGTCTGTAATGCACCAATCATTCATGGATCACTTAGGTATGATGATCCCTACCTTATTTGGTTCAGACGTATTACTCGTTTTGTCATTGGTAATCCTACTTCGCGTCCTCAACAACTACAAGGTTATGTGCCTAATGCGACTGCTTATGAAACAATGGTAAGTTCAATACTTGATTTTTCTTTTAAAGCTTATTGATGAGTTCTGGAAAGCCCAGATGCGTCATCGCCCTTCTCTGATCATTGCTATGTAATGTGATTGGTTCATGGAAGCTGATAGATTAATGTGAGTTTGTTTGGTTTAATTGAACTCTATTATTTTAGTTCAAATTATGTAATGTGATTGGTTAAGGCAAAATTCTGGGACTTCTTAGCTCTAGCCCCTGATTTCCATGAGAGGGAAGTTTAGGATTAAGGCAAAATTCTAAGTGACTGAAAATATTGAGGAGAAGATGAAGATGATAAGAATTTACTTTTACTTCCATTCTACGTCACAAATGATGCTTTTTTTCTTAATTATCTAGTGAGTCTAAGTGACTGTAGAAAATTAGGATGTCTGACTGCAATAATTTTATAGTGAAAGATTTTGACTGCAACAATTTTATTTCATTTTCATTCCCCTGCTATGTTGAACCTATGTAAGTTGAAAATGATACAGTTTGGTTGCATTTAAGTGCTGGCATGTCATTCTTTAAACAATGTGCTTAATCAAAGTTAGATCTTTTTTATTCATTGGACATGGAATGTCATTCTGTTCATAATGGATTAATAAGAATTATTCTTCTCATATAATTAATTTATTTTGCACAGGCGCGTCATATTCATTTGATGGTGAATAAAACTATATCACTCGGTGATAACCCATCAATGGAGGAATTTTACATATTTCGTGCAATGGTGTGGGATGAAGGATCTAACTGATTAACGTATGTTCAAGAGGCTGATAGGATTAACGTACAAGCCAATTATAGAAGAGACGAGGTACAGTCTGATCATTTGCATCCCCCTATTCGTAGGCGAGGAAAAGGTGGTGTTGCGGGTAGAAGGATGCGTGCTGTTGAGAGAGGTCGAGCGCCTATTGAAATGGGTGACGAGGATCAAGCCACACAAGATGTCCAAGCAGCACCGGAACATGAACCAACAAATACTAAAATTGTTCCATACATGACACCACAGACTCCACAAATATCAAGAGCTCCAAGTATTTCATCACATGAGAATGCCTTTGGTAGTTATCAACCTCAACATTTTGAGAATGCTCTAAACTTTACCTCATCACCTGTAGAAGGTAATGAGTTGAATGATTCCAACGATGAAGTGAATGGTGATGAGATGGAGGATGCAAGCCAAGGTGGTGAACCTTCGGTGAAGAAGAAGCGTATAATTTTTCCTAAGCTTTGTGGGACAGGTACTTTTAAATCTTTACATTATATCTTTGACATAAATGCTCATTTTTTAATTGAATAATTGAAAATTTCTTTTAATTGCCAGGGAGTCACTATCTTAACGAGCACGGCCAAAAGAAAAAAACAAAAGGTAATAAAGTCTTTGTAGTAACAAAGAAGAAAAACAAAGGATAAATCATGAGGCGAAGACTTTCAAGTAAGGTTTTACCATCATCTCGCAAATTTGTTTTCCTATCATTAGCTTCAATTGTTAACAATTCAAAATTTCTATTGTAGAGTTTTTGTGAGGAAGAAAAGAAGACAGCTTGGAGCACGACCATAGAGAGTTAACATCTCTTCTGTATAGCTTCAGTTCATTAGCTATAAAATGATAAATTAGCTTCAATTCATAAACTATTTGTCTTCTTTCTTAAATTTTGTTTATAAGTTTGTTTATAACTTTCCTTCTGTATGGAATTTTGTTTATAAGTTTAATAGAAGACTCATTGGTATTGTTTGAATTCGGTTGGACTGTAAGATTTTGATCGTGCCAATATACATATTTTTGGTGTTGTTCAATTCAACATGACCACTGACTGTTGTTCAATTTAGGTGCCAATATACTTTCTTTTCAAGCACTGTGTGCTGTTAATACACTTTGTAAAATTTATTACACTAGTAGTTAATACACCTTGTAAAATTGATGTTCACTGATGTATAAAATTAACCTCTTTGGCAGCAATATAACAAAAATGACTACCCGCTTAATTGATATACAAGATTGAATATTATTTAGGGAATTACATCACAGTAGCTAGGGAATTAACACAACTAGACATCCATCCACAACTGAAAATTAATACAATTGCACTAATAAAAGACTACTCACTTAAATTAATTACGATCTGGACATCGACGCCTATCATGTCCGGTCTGCCTACATAATCCACAAGCTCGCTCATATACGGCAGGACCACAATCCATCTCATTAGGAATTCTAGTTGTCCTTGATCGATTGGAACGACGATAGAATTCATTATTTCTCATTCTAAAACTAGGAATGGCCAATACGCCTCGTGGCCAACTGGTGAGAATGACCCAGAATATGTTGCAACATAATTATCTATTGTGAAATGCTCGCAACAAAATTTCTAGCTAGTTCTCCCATTCTATCAGTGACCTTCATGACATGTGAACACGGGAAATGCAAATTAGCCCATTTTCCGCAATCACATTTTCTTTCATTTAGTGAAACATAATGAGGATTACCACCGGTACCATCAACCTCTATAGATCTAACCTCGTATACCCCTGTGGGTATATTCCAATCAAAAACAAAGTGCCTCTTTGAACTTTCATAGTTCTTCTCCCACTTTATCTTAAACCTCCCGGTCCATAGCTCATTTTGTTCTTGAAGTTGTTGCGCTATTTGAGACCTACGAGTATATCGTTTAATAGTTTGCTCCAATGAAAGTTTAACCATAGCAGTGACAGACAAGTCTCGTGCCTTTTTCAACACTCCATTAAACGACTCTGAAAGATTTGTTGTCAACACTCCCCATCTTTTTCCATCATCATAGCTAACAGTCCACTTTTCCAAGGGAATCTCCATGAGGTATTCGTATGCCTCTACATTTTCTTCTTTAATTTGCCACATCAAGGATTCAAACTTCCTTACTTGATGGGCTGAAGCAGCCCTCCACATCAACCTACTAAGGTCCCTGTTTGGAAATCGAGATTGAAAGTTGCTTTTAAGATGCCTTATGCAAAATCGATGGAAGACTCGAGGCTTCTGAAATCGCCGCAACTCCTGCAAACTAGTCAAGATCCCTTTTGCTCTATCAAAGATAACACAAATACCCTCTCTATTCTTTATCACATGTGCACTCAAATTTCTAAAAAACCACTTCCATGCCTCTTTCGATTCTTTGTCTACAATAGCAAACGCTAGAGGAAGAATGTTATCATTTCCATCAATTCCAACAGCAATCAATAACTTTATGTCATATTTTCCATACATATGAGTTCCATCTACTGAAATAACAGGGCGACATGTTTGGAATCCATCAATGCATGGCTTGAAAGCCCAAAATACAAATTTAAAAGTTTTTACCTCCAATGAACTCATAGACTCTTCATGTTTCCATTCCACAATTGTTCCATGATTAAAGTGTTGAAAAACTACAAAAAATTTGGGTAAGTCACTAAATGATTTCTCAAAGTCACCATACACCAATTCAAATGCACGTTGACGTCCAAGCCACGCCTTTCTGTATGTAACTTGATGGCCAAATTTTTCGTGAACCTTCGAAATGACATCTACCACCAAAACTTTTGGATTATGTTTAATTTGATTTAGAATCAAGGATGCAATCAAAATGGTATTTAGGTTGGCGTGACCTCTAGAAAGCCCTTCAGTTTCACATCTATGATTTTCAATATATTTTCCAATTTTCCAAAGATTATCTCCAACCTTTCGTCCTCGAAGAAACCACAAGCAACCCAATAAAGTATAAAACTTGCATCTCACAACCCATAGACTCTTGTTTGATGTTACCACCTTGAACTCTTTATTTTTTTTCAAACTCCAAATCGCCACAGCCCGTTTTAGTTTTTCTTTACTACTAAAACACATACCTTTTTTCAAGTCTTTTTGAGTATCCTCAACCAAACTGAACAATGTTCCATCTCAGATTCACATGTAGACATGAAAATGTCTTCCTCATTCTCCAAGGTCCTGAAATAGGGTACATCATGATTTTGCATTTCAGGCACATCCTGTTCACATTGTTTAGAATGATTTATACCAATATCACTTTGAGAAAAATCTCTAATATCAACTATATCTTTATCAGGTTCACTTTCATCATCATGTTTTGAAGGTTCATCTTCCTCCGAACTTTCATCACTAATTTCAGCATTTACATCATTATGTAAATCAATGTCGGTCTCATTTTCTCTGTGAAAAAAAAGATTAGTTAAATTCTAACAAAGTTGTGAAATTAATTAAATAATAAACTACTCAACAAGTTATGTTAACAAATTGTTACACTAAAATTAAGTAAAATATAAACTTGTTACTTTACCTGGCCTCATATTCCATGTGACTACTATCAAAATGTCTTTGGCTACTTGAGCCTTCACCAAATGGTCGATGGTCACGCATAGACAATTGTTGGAATGATGGTGGAATAATCCGTTCTGCAAAATGAGGTTGACTGATCATGGCAAATCCATAATTTTGAGCCAATAGATTCATGTGAAAACCATGTTGACCACTAATTTGAAATACATCATTTTGATTTCTTGATTTGGTCATTACATACATCTCCAAAACATTTATATCAATTTTATCCGCAAATTTTTGAGGTATGAGAAAAAATTGTTGCAAGGATTGATCATTCTCAATTTTAAACTCAATAAACCTTGCATTGCTACCTTGAATTGAACATGGATATTTTCCAGAAATATTCATTTCAATATTTTCACTATTTGTTTCCATCTTCTCATGCAATAATCCAACCAATTCAACATAATTTGTTGAAGTAGACATACTGATAATCATTCTAGCACATTCAGTATACCTAAATCCATTCATTTCAGTAATTATTTCGCCACCCCAATACAAAGCAACCATCACATTATGCTCAAAATTTGCCATTTTGATTCCTACACATAAAATAAGACATTTTATAATCAATAAATCAGAAAAATATTTATAAAACTATGATAAAATAATAACATAATATGATATATTAACTTGACTTATTTTATTCATACCTATGAACTTTTGTGAAAATTGTTTCAATGGGCTACACAAGAAAAAACTTGGCTGAATAATGTTGGAATGTGTTGAACATTTATTTGTTTCAACAAGGTTTATATAAAAAATCACGTGGTCAGTTTGAAAAATGAAAAAGTATAACTTTAGCTGAGTGTCGTACTTGCTAGTCACGTTTTAAAGTTAAAACGTGACTAGCAGTAACGTTTTATAATCTGCAAGATTCTGCATTGCCAGAATTGATTCTTAATTTGCAGGCCCGTGATTGGAGGATTCTAAAGAAATGTTACGTAGAGTACCGTTTTACAATTAAAACGTGATTGAGAGTAACGAAACATAAAATGTACTTTTGAGTAACATTTAAAGTGTGAAACGTTACTTCCAATTACGTTTTATACTCTGCAAGATTCAGGATTCGATTCCTAATTTGCAGAGCCTGTGATTAGATTCTAAATAAATGTTAATGTCTGTGACGTTTTAACCATAAAACGTGACTCAGAGTAACGAAATATGAAATGTCACTCATGTATAGCTGTAAAATGTGTTTGTCAGTAACGAAGTCTAAAACGTTATTGACAGTCACGTTTTATTGCCGTCAGCTTTTTTCGTTTTGTACCGTTTTGTCCTTGAATAAAATAAAACCTAAAACGTTACTGTGAACCACGTTTATACTAGTTTCGTAAATTTTTTTAGAAAATGTACTATTTTGGTGAATTGATTTTAATAATGGCTTATTTTGGTCAAATATTCAGTTTTTAATATATTCCCCTACATAGTACGGACAATATCCTCACGTTGAACTTGCATTTCTCGATCATATGACCGAGAAGACGAACCAACATTGTTACTTTGAGTCATTTGTTGGTCAATATCATTCGCAACTATATTTTCATGCTCATAGACCATAAATATTTCATCACTCCTTTGGTATTCTCGCAAATAATTATGTAACACTGCACAAGCTACGACAATTTTCACTAGTGTGTCAATATCATATTCATGTCTTGTTTCACTTGTGTGCAATTACACATTTTTAGTGCATTAATTTCGTACAAAAATCAAACATATTGGAAGTAGTGATTATCAAACATACATCACTAATTTTGTCCTTTTTCGTATTAAATTGCTTTAAACATTTTCATATGTAGCAGAAAGGGAATTTTTTTTTATTATGAAAAAACAAAAAAAGTATTACTCCCTCCGTTCTTATTTATATTCACCAAATCAATTCCTACTTTATCATTTATATTCATCAAATTTAAGATAATAATAAATTTTATGTTGGTGAGAATAATAAATTTTAAAAAGTAATGATGTGATTATAAATTTTATTTACATATGAAATAAATGGTTAGTAAATATAAATGTGAGGTTATTTTAACAAAATACAAACTTATGGATCAATTTTTGTATTTAAAAATTCCAAATCATGCTATGAAATTCCCATATCATGATTTTTGGAGAATATGGTATTCCATCTCATGTTATGGAATCAGCGTGAAATCGCATGTCCAAACGCTGATTCCATCTCACGATTTCTTATCGTGATATGGTATACATGGCCAAACGCCTACAAATAGTATGTAGTTTCCTTCATTGGCAATCCTTGTTTGACCTTGTGTGGGTCAACAATTTTCACATTATTGTACGTAAAACTTAGGATTTTAGCAATGGGGATTTTATGAATACAAAAATACTAGACATAGGGCACGCACACCGCTAATTAATACACATATCGCAATGCATAGCCAAAAAGTGTAATATAATTCATTGGACACCGCCCATGGCGCAACGTGACACACATTTATTAAATTCGAAAACACATACTCCAATCTCGTTATGTTTCCACAGTCTCCACATTATGCCACGTGCAATGATATCGTGACGGAACTAAATATTTTACTACTTTTCTTCCATATATTTCAATTTACGTGTATATTTTAATTTCCTCTTTAGAATTTTTCAAATAAAAGTGTATGGAGTGAAGAAGAATAAGTGCAGATTCATAGGATGAGGACTCGGAGAATTGGCTCCTCGGGAATTAACCCTTGAGAAAGAGGTAAATGACGTGTCAAGGATATGAGAGGAATTGTACCCCGATGATATGGATAAAAAATAAGAGAGACAAACTGTTAGAAAGATTAGGTGTGTGGACGAGCCTGTATGTGTAGGAATATTAGCTAACATCACTAACGATATTACTACGTGACCTTATATAATTGGTTATAGTAACTTAGGGTTCATATTCTGTAGCTTTTCTATTCGCTAGTACTGTCTCACCATTGTAATCTATAAATAGGTAACCTCTTATATTTGTAGAGAGATTCTGATTTCAAGCAATACAACAAAAATATTCCACTTCAAATTCGTATACAATATTTAGTTAATTACGGGAACACCCTCGGAGCTACGACGACAAGACCTCTTGTATTATTTAGAAACTTTTTTGATACAATGTATGTTTAAACTCATGAATACAAGAATGATAAAATGTGTATACACTATACACTATGTATTTTTCCCTCTACCTACTAAGAAATGGAGTTATATTTTGAACGTACCATATATGTATATTGTTGATTGTATGCCTTCATTCATTTTGATTGTATTTGGTGTATATATCCCTTGTTAATTGTATTGTTGTATTTATTTAAACTTGTATAGGCAACCATCTTGTCATACAGATATGATTGTATATTGGGCTGGAAAGATGACTTAGTAGATGGAGAAGTAAATCAGTACTGGTTCCTGGGCCATACTGTTTTAAAGTCCAGCACTCAAGCAGCCCAAATATAGATTGCATCCCGGGGTTGTTTGGTAGATGGTAACTAGAGTTATGCAAATATTAATAATGTAAGTATTAGTTATGTATTATTTATGCAAAGATTAGTTATTTCACAACATACCAATTAATATGTTCCCTACTCAATATGACGTCAGAGTAATAAACCAAATCAGGAAAAAAGTTGTTATAGGATTAAATATTTTTACACACTACTAACCTATCCAAAGTTTTGATCCCTAGTCTAACCTAATTAAGAACGTTTAATTTGTTTTAAAGCTATGTTACTAGTTGGGAAGGCCTATTAATATGTTGAATTAAGAGAGATAATGTATAATTATTCCTCTAAATTTGAATCTCATTTTTAAGAAGATATTTAAACTTTGTGAGGGTCCTATTATCCTCTAAGTAATTTTAAGCTGATATTAATATGTATTTGTTTTTGGCCAAAAAGAAAAAGATGAAAAAATTAGTTTTAGCATATTTTTTAAAAAAGAAAAGTTATTTTCCTGCTTTTTTTTTTTATTTGCCTTTTCTTTCTTTTATTTCACCCTTGTTAATTATAGGGCTATGGTTTGATTATCGCCGTTTGCTTTTTTGGTGTGAACGATAAAGAGTATCAAAACATAAGAAAAATGAGTGAAGAGGGAGATGCCCGCTGACAGCCTATCGTTTTCAGTGAAGAGGCATTTTAAGACGATGAAGAGGTGGTAAGAGATCGTAAAGAGAAGTATTGAAAACACCCCTTAATTTGGCGCAAATTATTAATTTCATTTATGAACTATTGACAGTCTTAAAATCTCTTCTACTTGATTAACTAAACTTAGGTACACCCCGGTCACTCCCAATCTGCCACATGATATAGTAAGTGAGCTTGACAGGAATTTAGGGGTGTAATTCACGCATGTTGCAAGTTTGAGGTGTATTTAAATTCAGTTAGTCAAATAAAATGGTGTCTTTTTAAGGCTATCAATAGTTTAAGGATAAAACTAATAATTCACGCCTAATGTAAGGGTATTTCAGAGAAAAGAATGAAGTAAAAATCTCAAAATTTTGATGGATTGAAAAAAGACATTAATACCAATTCAAAATTGTTAAGGGAGGTGATAGAATACGTACCTGCAAAATTTAAGTGTTTACTTAAAAATAAGATACAAGTTGAGGGAATAATTATATATTATTTTCAATAAGAAATGTTTCAAACAACTATATATATAATACAGATAGCAAAAGTTTTCCAAAGAATATATTGGGAAATCATTCCTCTCACAGCTCTCATTATTTAACCACTACTTTTAATTTAGTTTCATTTTTCAAAGAATTAAGAGCAAAACAGAAAATAAATATTTTGATGTTTTGTCAATCTTATTTAACCATGGCGTCTTCTCTCGAATTATCTCTCACCGCCCGCCGCTACGCATCTACGATTAAACGTGAGCTCTACTTTACCCTTCTCAATATTCTTCCTCTTTTAATGTAGCTCTACTTTCAATCAGTGGTGGAGCCACCTTCTTGCTAGGGGGTTTATTCGAATCCCCTTCGCCGGAAAATTATATCATTTATATATGGTTAAAATAATTTTTAGGTGTATATTGTAGACGTCGAACCCCCTTTGGCTACTTCGTGTGTTTATTTCTTCAAATTTCGAACCGCCTTATTAAAAATCCTGGTTCCGCCACTGCTCTCAATATATTATTAAGTACTATTTTCTTTTTCTCATATTTGACAACTATTTAATACTATCTATCAATAATTTATCAGTGTTAGATTTCACTTGGCAAAAAGTTCACATAAGAATAGTCTTTTATTTAAAAATTTATTTTAAGAATAATTTTAAAATATTGCAATATATTTGTGACCATTCCCACTTCAAAGTCAAAGATTAAGAAGATTCTCCTGATTTTTGATGTTATGGCCTCCTACAAAACTAGAAACGAATTGGCTTAGCTCTCGAAACTACCGACGAAGCAGTAAGTTGTCCGCAATTCATTGCCTATTTTGAGGCTATAACTGTAATGAAAATATCAGATGGAAGAAGCCTGAAAGCAGAAGAGGTAGCTTACTAACCTACTGGAGTAAGTAGTCTTGTCCGAAAGCCTCAGGCGAAAAGACAGCTTAAAAGTAACAAGGTTCTGAAAGAAAGACAGGCCTTCAGGCAACTAAAGGGAAGGTAGGTTAAAGTGACTGGTCTTTCTTATCCGAAAGCAAGCAAGACAACAAGGGAGGTCTTTAAATTATGTGTCCAGTTAAACTATATCACCTATATAAATTGAAACGAATGGGGTGACATGATATATACAAATAAAATGTGTATTGTAATTTTTAAGTACTAATGAAATACTCACTATTTTACAGAAAAAGTAAGTTTCGGTTATAGTCTACAATTCAATATTGGGGTTTCAAGACGTCGACACACACAAGGTATTGATTAGGTAGCATTTTTTAATTTTTTTGTCCTTTCTTTTTTACTGTAATTTTATTGACAAAAATAGTGACAATATCGATTTGTTACAAAAATGATTTGCCAGTTATCAAGTCGAACGACAACATGGAGGAAGAAAAAGAAACAACACACAGCGTGGTTTGACCAAATTAGAAAATATTCTTGCTTTTATTTTTCTTACTTGAGCTTATTGTTTTAGGAACAACTCAATATAATTGAATTTTTAAAACGAAATTTTAATTGGAGGTCTAAAATCTATAAAAAAATTAATAGTAAGGTATAATACATAACTTATTTTTGAAAAAACCCCACAAAATTGGCATGTCTTACTTTGTCTAGGCTCTAGCCATAGAGCCGGGCACTGCATAGCTCCTCACCAATATGAATTACACATGTTCTATTATTTATCTAATGGATCAAATTTATTTTATTAACTAAGTAACATTAACTATGGTTGACAATAATTTTCTCTCCTCTTTTTCTTTTTATTCTCATTACCGTTAATAGACTCGCAAATATTTTCAAAAAATATGCAGAGCTAAAAATTTATACAAAGAAATTCATGAAATAATAAACAAATATTTTATTTATCGGTGGTGTTTATATTTATATGGCATAAAATAAATATTTTATTTTGTCATATTAGACATTTTAATGTAAAATTTAGTTGAGTGATTTTATTGATACAAAATAAAGTTCAATGATTTTGCTAAATAAAATTTCAAAGTTGAGTGATCTTTTGAAAAATTAACTCTTTAATCTTTCGACAAAGAAAATTTGAACCTCACTTCACCTAGAACCGACCTTGTATATGTTGACGATATATACATCTAAACCAGTCATTAGATTATCTAAAACATAACTACATGTAAAAGGTGTACACATCAAGTATGATAAAGGAACACATGATTGACGTGGTCCGATTAATGGTGCAATCGATGGATGATGGGGAAATAAGTGTATCAGCTTATGATACAGCTTGGGTTGCTCTTGTGAAAAACATCAATAATAATCCTCAATTCCCTTCATGTATTGAATGGATTGCCAACAATCAACTTGTTGATGGCTCTTGGGGTGACAAATTCATATTTTTGGCTCATGATCGTATCATCAACACATTGGCATGTATTATTGCCTTGAAATCTTGGAATGTGCATCACCACAAAAGTGAACTAGGTAATAATTAACTACTTTAATTATTTTTTGTAGTCATCGTTGTGTCTTCCCAAGCTCAAACTTCCAAGATATCATCTCTAGTTGTTATCTCCTCTAACTATTCCCTACAACTATGGGTGAAAGATGGTTGGATTGGATCGAATTTGGATTGGTTGAGCCAAAATGAACTGAATTATAATCTATCATATAAAATATGGGTAAATATGAATTTAGGTAAAATGGTTCTCACGCAGTACTTAAATCTCCTAAAGTTGAAAGAAATATTAAATCAAAGCTAAACTTTGTTGTTTATGTTTCTGCAAAATTATTGTGTTAAGTATTTGTTAGTACAAATTAAATAACAAAAAATATATCTACATAGGCGCCACATAGAATAATATATAAGAATGGAGGCATGAGACTTAACAGTTCAAAATATATGTTTAAAGTTGGATGACAATGACAAATATATCAAAAAAGTATACAACAACATACTAGCTAGTGTAGTCCCACATAGTGAGGTCTAGGGAGGACTGAGTGTACACATACCTTACCTCTACCTCTTGTTTTTTTATGGACCATTGGATAATAAGAATGGAGACATGAGACTTAACAGTTCAAAATATATGTTTAAAGTTGGATGAAAATGACAAATATATCAAAAAGTTATACAACAACATACTAGCTAGTGTAGTCCCACATAGTGAGGTCTAAGGAGGATTGAGTGTACATGTACCTTACCTCTACCTCTTGTTTTTTATGGACCATTGGCTCAAGACAAATATAGACTATAAGATGATGTAACGAAAGTATAAGAAACAATAAGTAGTAACAAAACAACATAGTTGATTAATATTAACTCCTTTGCAAGTCTTTCTCCAAACCTCCTAATTAATATTAACTCATGTGCAAGTCTCGTCAATCAAAACTTCATCATTCGCAAATAACATACACCATATCATGACTTCACTTTGAATTTGTTGCATCAATACATCCATCATCAAAGCAAATGAAAACGGGCTAAGGGTTGATTATATTCCTGGTGCAACCCTATCAACATAGAGATGTGCTCCGAGTCAAATATATTCAAAAAGTATGAGAAAGGATAAATATATGTTTTTTAAGAGTACAAAAACAAATATGTCATTTTTCTCATTTAATCTGTATATGTGGAGGTAATAATGCATTCTCTTTTGGATTCTTATTTTTATTTTTTATTTTGGGTGGGGAGGGTGGTATAGGAATGTCATTTATCAAAGAGAATTTAAGCAAGATTGCAGATGAAAATGTTGAGCATATGCCAATCGGATTTGAAGTGGCATTTCCTTCACTTATTGAGATTGGAAGAAATATCGGCATTCATATTCCGGATGATTCTCGTGTTTTGAGAGACATATATGACAAAAGAAATCTAAAACTCACAAGGTAAGCAAGCAAATTTTGTACTTACTACTTAACTTTACAAAATCAAATAATTTACCTTGGGATCAAAAATCCCCCCGTCGTTATTTCAAGAGACCATAAAAATATCCTCAAGAGTTAAATACCCTCTTGAGGGGGTATTTGTGGTCTTTTAGGATAAAAGCGGGGCATCTTTTAGGGAAAAAGGATAAATATACCTCCGAACTATCGTAAATAATATGCAGATATCCTTCGTCATACTTTGGGAAATTAGTGCTCTTGCAGTAAAAAAACTAGAGCATATATACCCTTTATACTAACGGACATACACATGTCTTAATCTTATCCACTGACCCGATATTTATTAAATATTGAATCGATGGATAAGATTGCACCACGTGTCCCTATTTAGTCTTCCGTTAGAGTGAAGAGCATATATGCTCTAGTTTTTGGACGGCAAGGGCACCAATGTTCCAAAAGTATGACGGATGGTATCTGCATACCATTTACGATAGTCCGAGAGTATATTTGTCATTTTTTCCCATTTTTATCCCAAAATGTAATGAAGGGTATAAGTAGTCTATTTCGCATAGTTCAGAGACAATTTTGACCCTTTTCCGTTTAAATATTAAGAACTCATACCACTTAAGTACAATCATTAATTAGTGATAACGTTTATATAAATGAAGCATATTTGATATTCATTACGCTCTTACCATTTCACCACAATCTTTGTTAGTATGTTTTCTTAGTTGAACTTAAATATATACTAAGAGAGAATTTCAAGTGCCCAAGCAGACAACAAGTCAACATGCCTGCTTGGGCACTTTGAGGATATTTCGATAAATTTAAATGAAATGGAATAATGTTGATAGTAATTTCTATATATAATAGGGGAACTTTCACATATAGCCACTCAAAAATAACTTAATTACGTTTCATAACTATAGTTTGTTAATTACGATTCGTAGCTATATGTTATAGGGAGGAGAATGGCAAGCGAGATTGGGAGAGGGAGGAGAGAAGCGAGCGAGAGAGGGCAGAGAGTGGAGAGAGGCTAATTGTATATGTATATTTGTCGAATTGTTTAGGTATATTTGTCAAATAATTGTATATATGTAACTAATATACATATGTATTTGTATATCTGGCGAGCGAGATTGGAAGAGGAGGAGAGAGGTGAGCGAGATTAGGAGAGGGAGGAGAGAGGTGAGCGAGATTGGGCAGAGAGTGGAGAGAGAGGTGAACTGTGTATTTATATATGTCGGATAATTGTGTGTGTATATATATATAACTGATATACATTTGTATTTGTATACCTGGTGAGCGAGATTGAGAGAGTGAGGAGAGAGGCGAGCGATATTGGGAGAGAGGCGAGAGAGGTTGGGCAGAGAGTGGAGAGAGACGAACTGTATATGTATATCTATCAAATAATTGTATATATATGTGTATAATTTGTATGTGTATATGTATAAAAGAGGACAAGTGACGTAATTAAAGCTAAAATTAAGTTGCGAGCCGTAATTAAATCAAACTATAGCTATATTAGCTAATTAACTAGTATATGTTTGTTTTTCGTGCAATTTTCCCTATATAATATATAGAGTGCCGAGAGACAAAATGCACAAAGTGCCGACACCGTTACTCTTCAGTTTGGAAGGGATGCCAGATTTGGAGTGGCAAAAGCTACTTCTCTTGCAGTGTGCTGATGGTTCTTTCCTCTTTTCTCCATCCTCCACTGCCTTTGCATTTATGCAGACTAGAGATCATAATTCTCTCAATTATCTCACCAACATTGTTCACAAATTCAATGGCGGAGGTACGTCACATATACTACCTTTTACCTTTTAGCAGAGGCGGATCCACATGCACCGATAACTTTTTATTTTTTCTACTATTGTTTTTTATTTCTCTAGAGCTAATTTTGACATTTGAATGCATGATAATTATTAAGTTCCAAATGTATATCCGGTGGACTTATTTGAGCACATTTGGATTGTTGATCGATTGCAAAGACTTGGAATTTCTCGGTATTTTGAGGCAGAAATTAAAGAATGTGTCGATTATGTCAATAGGTACGACATAGTACGTACTACTACAAGTATTTTGAGCAAGTTTTGAGAAATTTAAGGACTATATGTGAATACTCCATCCACCGATCTATTTTATTTATTATGATTATTAAAAATAATTGATCAAAAATATTTATTATTTTAAAAAATTAAAATATAATTAATTATTTTTTCACCTTTACCTTTGTTCCAATAAATTAGAGAGAATATTATTAATGATAGAAGTAATAGTACTACTCTCTTAGTTCATTTTTACTTGTTTTTATTTAATTGAACACATCTCTTGAAAAATATTAATAAATAAAATGATATGTTTATTTTAGATATTGGACAAATGAAGGTATCTGCTGGGCTAGAAATTACAGATTTCAAGACATTGATGTCACGGCCATGGGTTTTAGACTTTTAAGGTTGCATGGCTACGTCGTTTCTACTGGTAAATCATTCACTTGAATTGAATTATCAGTCCATTGTCTTTGGTAATGAATTTACGTAGAGCAGAATTTAGCCAAATAATGTTATAGTGATAATAACAAAGACAATGGTAAGTTATAATAATAACAGTAAAACAAAGAGAAAATACATAACCTCCGAACTTGGCAGCACAACTTACTTCAACACTTAAACTACACGAACATTTAAACACCCCCTTAATAACTTTCGAGTGAATTAAGTACCACTCTGAGAGTATGGTACCACTCTCACCTGCCAGCACCACATCACAACCATGTATTTAAAGTTATTAAGGGGTACTTAATTCACTCAAAAATTATTAAGGGGTATTTAAACGTTCGTGTAGTTTAAGTGCTAAAGTAAGTTGTACTGCCAAGTTCGGAGGGATTTTATATGTTTTCTCTAAAACAAATAAAGAAGACACAAATTTAGTGTGGTTTAATTGGTGTGACCTAGTCCATAGTAGAGATGAGTAATTTTACTATATCAACAAAAAATCATAAGAGAGTACATGTTGTTCTAGATCAATTTTATTGATTGTATAAAAAATATGTACATTATCAATTGATATAAGCTTAAACTCTTTAGTACCAATACTGATAAATTACATGTTTTTTTTCCCCAATAGATGCATTCAAAATCTTTGAGAGCAAGGGTGAATTCTTTTGCGTGGCGGGACAAACAAGTCAGGCTGTGACTGGAATGTATAATTTATTTAGAGCTTCACAGTTAATGTTTCCTAAAGAGAAGATACTTGATGATGCAAAGAAATTCTCCTCCAATTTCTTGCAAGAAAAACGTGTTCAAAATCAACTTATAGACAAATGGATCATCACCAAAGATCTCCCTGGAGAGGTAAAAATAATTAATTACACTCTCTATCAGTTTGGATAAGAATATTACTTAATTTGATTCAGTTTTTGTGTGTGTCTTAACAGGTAGGGTATGCATTAGACGTACCGTGGTATGCCAATTTGCCTCGCTTAGAAACAAGGTTCTTTCTCGAACAATATGGTGGTGAAGACGATGTGTGGATTGGCAAAACTTTATACAGGTATATATTTTAATTTAGTAGTAATAAATAGCGCCATTTGGTATTTATAATTTTTCACTTTTCAGGATGCCCTTAATCAATAATAACACATATTTGGAGCTGGCAAAATTGGATTACAACCAATGCCAAGCACTGCATCAGCTTGAGTGGAAAAGCATTCTCCAGTAAGTTTAGATGAACTGACAGAACATACACATGCAAGATTTATTAATTAATTGTTACATGATTGGATGCAGGTGGTACAAAGAATGTAGATTATTAGAGTTTGGATTGAGCGAAAGAAACTTATTGGTGAGGTATTATTTGGCGATGGGAAGTGTATTTGAACCAGAAAGGTACAGAGAGCGACTGGTTTGGGCCAAAGTTGCTGCTATTATGGAGACTATTCAATGCCTCAATTCTAATGCTAAGTGAGCCTATCATGCATATTGTTTTAATTAGCTAGATGGACTATTCACAGTGAACCTTATTTTAAATTAATTTATGTGAACTAATTTTGAACTCGATCGCATCCAATATATAGGACAGGACAAAGGCTCGTCGAAACTCTACTTGAAGCATTGATGACTCATGGCATAGACATCCATCAACACTTGCATCATGCTGTTAGTCCTACTTACTTACTTTTGCAATTATTATATTTAGGCGGAATATATTGATAGTCCTTAAATTTGTCTGCAAATTTCATCTAAATATTTGAGTTACACATTGAGCACCTAATAAAGTGTTCCTATATATTAAGTAGATATTTTCGGTTCAAATTTTGAAAAAGGTATGCACATGTTCTCAAATTAATATGTCATCTCATTTTATTATATTATATGCATGAGCTTCGATTGGACCAGACATGAGATAATTTTAACGACTTATTGATGCTAATGTATATAATTAAAGGGGATATCATATTTTAAATAATTAACCCATCTATGTAATAGACACTTGAGAACACACATAAAAACTTTTCAAAGACTTGTGCAGTAAGTATCTAACAAAAACATCTTTATCAGATACTCAATTGAAACATGTCATAATATTGTTGTCGTCGCCTTATACTTCCTTTAGCAGGCTAATATGGTAAATTTGTTTTTTGAGACAAATAAAAAATCTAAAAATTTATTAATGTGGGAACATGTATAGTGGGAAAAGTGGATGATATTGGAAGAGGGAGGCGAAGGAAAAGGAGGTGCAGAACAACTAATTCGGACGCTAAATTTGTGCACCGGCAAGTCAGATGAGCTATTGTTGTCGCATCCTATGTATCAAAAGCTCCTCAACATATCCAATAGAGTTTGTCACCGTCTTCATCTCTTCCACCACCCAAAGGTTAAAAATTAAACTCATAGAATTTAACTCCTGAATCCACTTTTGCTGGTAATTACAATATGTTGATATCGGATACTAATTTGTAGGTACCGAATATGAAGGATCGAAGTATTGAACATGACATGCAACAACTAGTTGAACTTGTGCTATCCAAATCTGATGAAGATATGGATGCCAACATCAAGCAAACGTTTCTTAATGTAACCAAGAGTTTTTACTATGTTGCTTATTGTAGTCCAACAATGATCAATCTCCACATTGACAAGGTGCTCTTCCAAAGAGTACTTTAATCATTTGAGGGTATCAACTTTATTGTTGCTTATAGTCTCATCTTGCATATCCTTTCCACAATTAAAAGAGTTTGACTTCTCTATATTGATGTTTATAGTTTGTCGATAAAACAATGTAATAAAAATTCTCAAATTATAGTTTGTCTTATTAAAGATCTAATATTGTAAAAGTTGAAAATGATATAATATATATATATGAAATTTAAAAAATAAAAAAGATAATGATTATACAATCATATAAATTCAAAATCTATTAATTGTTGCATATTATATAGTTGTTAAATGTGTCCATTATATATTCATGAGAATATCATACTATTAGATATTGAAGTACGATATCTACATAGTTATTTATTATATAAATAAATAACTATAAATGACCAATAGCAGATGCATCATTAATAGTGTAATCAATTTTTTTCTCGACAATCATTGATTAGAAATAGGGATAACAATAAAACGGTGTGGAGTGAGTATGGGGTGAGTGTAAGATTATTCGGAGCAGCATAGTCTCTAAGCAGGTGCAGAGCGGGTCAAAACCAGCTTTATTTTTTAAACTTACGTAAGTGCAAGGTGAATGTGAATCTCCTCCCTTCTTGTGTTCTCTTCTTGTTTGATAAAAATCATACATAACACAGAAATTTTCTCGTCTATTATTGAAGTTTATTATCATATTAGTATTAATAGATCAACAGGAAAATATACTCAATCTACAATTTGAAGTATTTGTTTTGATTAGTACTATGATAATTAATTGATTGTTATTTTTTCTTGATTTAGACGGTCAAGTGAAAAATGAAGTATTGTTACTAATTCCAGTGAGACATTGTTCACGAAGTTGAATTATGAAAATTGGATACTATTAATATATCAAAATTTATGTAAAAGAAAAAAAGTCAAGGAATAAATTAAAACATAATTTCTTTATTTGAGGTTTGAGGTTTGAGGTTTGGGTGCAAAGTTATATATTGTGATGTGTATATTTATTTACGTGATTAAACAAAAAAAAAAAAGAGATTAAATAAGAATTTTACAGGAATGGGGTGGGGGCATATTTATGCGGGGTGGAGTGGAGGAATTATAAAATAGCACTACTCGGGGTGAATTCATCTAGGGAGATTGAGATTATAAAAAAAAATTCACTACACGAGGTGGGGCGGAGCGCGTTAAAATTTTTACGAGTTAAGCTTTGCCAACCTCCACCTACTCCATTGCCATCTCTAATTTGAAAGACCTGTTAAATTTGTTCTTTGACGTTTCAAACGTTAGTATTTTAATTATTTGCTAAAATATATTCTAATAAATTGGGTCAACAATAATTCTAACAACGACGAAAAAATATTATTTAAATTGATAAATGGAATATATTTCTAACCTTATAAAGATAGTGAACATGTAGACTAACTTAATATCTCAATCAAAAATATTTTTAACCCCCAATATGCGGTAATTGTCTTGTTCCCAATATATTTCCATTGATGTGAAATATCAATTCATCCGATACTTCCATTCCTTATTGAAGAAGGAATTTGTTGTAAAATATATGATAAATGTCCATGTGGCTCTTTAATGGGAGCCACCTCTATTTCAAAGTTAAATATCCAAACTTGGTGCCCAAGTAGTACCACGTATTGTAGCTCTTGCTCTTGCTCTTACTCTTGCCCAAGTTATTTCTAGGCCTAAAAAATGGTCATTTAGTGATAATATGAATAAGGTTCTCCCTCTCTCAATTTCTTATATCTATGAACATACAATTTTGTCCTTTCCTTCTTGCTTTCTTATTAGTTTAGTTAATTACTTTAATTTATTGAATATTCAATTTTTTCGATAGGGACATAGAAGGAACTATAAGAGATTATAATATACCTTGTCATTAACAAGGTAAGCACATGTGGTACATAGAGAGACTTCAAAACTAAGAATTTGTGCAGACTCTTCACTTTTGATGCCGAATCCATGTTGGATACTCTAAAAATATACTACTTTTGAAAAATTCAATACACACCTATCAACATTTTTAAAAAATATGAGTAACATAGGTTGAAACAACAAAACTAACACTTTATGAGTGAAGAGAACATATATATACAAAATAATCATTTGGACTGTACAAAATAATTGCAATAAAATTTTCTTCCTTGCAAATTATAGTAACTAATACTTTCAAAAACTTATCCTTGAAAAGTCGAAATACACCACATTGATACTTCATTGGCATTTTTAATCCATTTATCACCTGCACCAACATCAATGCCAGTGCTTCAAAGAAGTCATTACCACTTAAACCCATAAGTCCATCAGACCTCTGAGCCCTTCCTCAATTAGAGGAGGAGTCTATGAGAAATGGTCAATTGTAATTGGTAGTTAAGTCTCTAAAGCATATCAAAATCAAGTTTGAAGGCGAAGTACATTGGAGTGAGGTGTAATAAAACTTGAGCGGGGGAAAGTATGGCATTCATCCCTCATCAAGAGATAAAATAATGATTTTTTAAAAAATGCGAAAATGAAACCCAAAATAAAAGATCAGTTACTAAAGCTTGCCTTTATTCATTGGTAAGCCAAGGTCCTATGTTTCTGAATCGACGCACACATTTTTTGAAGATTCCTGCCCCATGGGCAAACGGCCTGGCAGGCCTTTCCTTAATCTGACAATAAAACTGAAGGCTAATATTGGAAAACTCAATTTAGAAGCTCAACTTTAGAGAGAAGAAGAATTGAAGACTTCATTATCACAACTAGAAAACTAAGCTACTGCTATTACAATGTTGTATTTATATACACATTTCTATGAGCTAACTAACTAATCTCTATGATGTGACTGCATAACTAACTATGACGCATTCTAACAAAATAATTAGTTAACTAACTAATCAGCTATTACAATCTAATTAACAATCTAATCAGGTTAGTTATTAACCAATTCCAATACTCCTCCTTCAGCTGGATGTACTGAAGACATTCAAGAATCCAAGCTTGTCCATTAAACTGTCATGTTGCACTCTTCCAAGAGCCTTAGTCAATAAATCTGCTTGTTGGTCTTTAGTATGAATGTAGGCAGTGTTGATTAGGCCTTGTTGAATTTTCTCCCGGATAAAATGGCAATCCAACTCAATGTGTTTAGTACGTTCATGAAATACAGGATTAGCTGCAATCTGTATTGCAGCCTTGCTATCACAATAAATGTTTATTGGTCCATTTAGTGTCACTCCTAACTCCTTAAACAAGTTTGAAACCCAAACCACTTCAGTTGTCAAAGATGCTAGGCTCCTGTATTCTGCTTCTGCAGAACTTCTGGATACTGTATTCTGTTTCTTTGACTTCCATGAGATTAATGAATCACCAAACTTCAATAGAAAGCCAGTAACAGACCTCATAGTATTTGGGCAGGCAGCCCAGTCTGCATCACAAAAACCAGTGAGTTGAAGCTTCTTGTCTGAACTAATCAACAACCCCTTTCCAGGTTCTATTTTAATGTACCTTATAACCCTTAATGCTGCATTCCGGTGTGACATCTTTGGTCTTTGCATGAATTGACTCAAAGACTGTATTGCAAAGGCTATATCTGGCATTGTGTTTGTGAAATATAATAGCTTCCCAACAAGTCTCTGATACTGTAACATCTGGCAGCAATGCATCATCATTAGCAGTCCCTTCATCATACTCCACACTATTCAACTTCATATTGCATTCCAATGGTGTAAAGGTTGTTTTTCCAGCAGTCATGCCAACCTCAGAGATTAACTCTAGGGCATACTTTCTTTGATTCATCACTATCCCTTTACTAGACCTAAGAAACTCAAT